GAGAGACAGAGCCCTAGTGGGGGAGGGACTGAGAGAGAGGGAATCACAAACCTGAAGCAGGCTCCAAGCTCCGCGCTGTCAACAGAGCCCAACATGGGGCTCGAACCCACGAGCCACGAGATCATAACCTGAACTGTGTGCTAGGTATGAAGAATCAGGAGGTCTTACAAAGTTCAGCTTATTACTGAACATCCACCTCCTTTGTGCCAAATATTACTCAAGGTATTTTGAATACATTAGAGAACAAAATAAGTAAAAATTCTAGTCCTTGGAGAACTTTCATTCTAGTTCATGAGAATTTAAATTTATACCAATCTTTCAAGAGAAATGTCTGAAAACCCAGAATGCATTTGTGTTTTGACTTAGTCATTATGCTTTCTGAGGAAATGGCAGCACAAGGTGTGCAAAGATAAATTTCTGTAATTATTTAGAATTTTCAACAGCACATAGCACTGCTGTGACTGCTATAATTGGATTGTCTTTTTATTGTTGAGTTATAAGAGTTCTTTATAGATTGTAGATACAAATCCCTTATCAGACAGGTATTTGGGAATGTTCTCTTCCATTTCACGGGTTGTCTTTCCATTTTCTTGATGGTGTCTTTTGAAGCACAAAACTTTTTAATTATGATGCAGTCCAGTTTATCTAATTTTACTTTTGCTACTTGTGCTTTTGGTGCCATATCTGAGAATCCTGTGTCAAGTCTAAGGCCAGAAAGATTTACTCCTGTGTTGAAGATTTACTCCTGTGTTCTCTTCTAAGAGTTTATATTTTAATTTTTACATTTAGGTCTTTGATCCACTTTGTTAGTTTTCTGATACCATGTGAGAAAAAGGCTCTGTACTATTTTAAATGTGACTACTAAAATTTTTTAACTACATGTGGGCTTGCATTATGTTTCTATTGGACAAAACTGGCCTAGACCAGTGGTCTCCAAACGTTTTGTTATTACTCCCTATTGGAGAAAAAAAATTGAACATCCACCTACCAATATATGTACATGTATTTATTTCTCAAATCCATACATGTACTATCATATGAATAACATATTATGTGTGTTAAAATATAAAACCTCCATAGAAAATTAAAACTTAAAGGCACTTACTAGTAGAATAAATATAAATAAAATTTCCCACACTTCAGTGGATTATTTTGTACATAATTGCTTTTGGAGACCACCAGTCTAGACTGTGATCTTAACTTTATAATTGATTGGCTCAAGTCTTCTTCGTTCCCCACAGTATTGATAGAGAACTCTCTCAAGTGCAGATCTGATCACATTATGCCTAACCGACTTAAGGATAAAATCCAAACTCAGCTTGTCATTTAAGGTCTTTCATATATCCCTGCCTATGTCTCTCTAGGTTCAGCCCTCACCATGCACCATACATTTTATCAATCACACCATACCTCCCTCACACCGCCCTTTACTTATGCTTTTCTCTCTACCCAGACTGCTAGTTGTCTGCTTCCTCTCCAGATTACTATTAGTTTTCAGTCCTCAGTGTGCCCTTTCTTATCATTTGGCACACTATGGTAATTTATCTGCCAATCATCCTCAGTAGACTATTAGATTCTCCAGGTAGAAACTGTGTATTCCTGGTACCTGTATAGATTATAGACTTCTAATAAAATTTTTTTTAAAAAGTTAGTTAATATCTTAGTGAATGAATTAATAAATACATTTCTTCTAATTCAACTGCTTTTCTACAGTCATTGATACTTATGATCAAGAAAAAAATTCTAATTTTCTAATCATTTTTGTTTAATTGCAAATATGATAATGATGAAAAATTTTATTTCTTGTTTTTCTTGCATGTCCTAGATGTCACAATGTTTTTTATTCATGTTTTGTTTTGTTCTTTAGCATCTATAATCCATGGGCTAAATGGGTCATTTAGGGCCCTCTAAGAACCTTAGATTTTCTCAATAAAATAGTTCTTTTTTTTAATATTTATTTATTTGAGAGAGAAAGAGAGTGAGCTGGAGAGGTCAGAGAGAGAGAGAGGGAGGAAGAGAATCCCAAGCAGGCTACGCACTCAGTGCAGAACCTAATGCAGGGCTCGATCCCACAAACCACAAGATCAAGACCTGAACCCAAATCAAGAGTCAGCTGCTTAACTGACTGAGCCACCCTTGCACCCCTCAACAAAACAGTTCTGCATGCTAGTAATCAGAACACTGTAAAACTCATTATGAGTGTTTCAACGCCTCTATTTTGAGTTGATTTTCCTCATTCAGAATCCCCAGCCAAAATCAGGGCAAGTCTTAGTAGAAGGAGGTAGCCCTGGTATTAGGGTTTAAGCACCAGCATACCAAGAATTTCTTGAATTCACTGTTTTATATCATCTGATATTTTGCGTTGATATGTGGTATCACACCAGATCTGTGTAAGAGCATTATTCAGTTCCCAAACAAAACAAAAAGCACCCAAACCAAATGAGCTACTTGCTGTTATTAAACTTGATGTCTTCAAGTCATTATCTTCTTCAAAATGTTGGTAACGGGTGACCTTTGCATCTGATTATTGCATCTTTTTTCTTCCATTTCATATCATCCACAACTGTTTTCTGTGTAAAGGCACTTGATTGTGTTATTATTCTATACTGAGCATTGCACAATATGATCTGTACCTTCAACATACATTTACTAAGAAATTACCATGTACAAAAAGAGCCTCATCTTTCTCTGGGAGAGAGAAAGATGAAAAGAGTTATTCCTAACATGTATGAAGGATGAGAAAGAAAATGAAAATATGAATGAAGGTAACTCCAAGGATTTTATATAAACTTAATAAAAAATACAGTTAATGATATAAAATACTGATGTTTTGTATTAAAGCTGTAAACATAACATGAAATTAGCATTAAGACTCATTTGTAGAGATCTTATTTTAGGGTCAAACTTGAGAGAACTTGGCATATTTTATATTGGGAGATACAAATGGGATAGCCATAAACTGTAAACACCTATAAAATCTATAGAGGAATAAAGTAGATTAGAGGTTCCCTAGGGCTGGCAGGAGGATGGAGAGCGATGCTAACAGGGAAAGATTTCTTTTGTAATCAAAATATTCTAAAATTAGGATATAGTGTTAGTTGCATAACTCTAAACATACTAAAAACCATTTAATTGAACACTTTAAATGGCTGGACTTTATGGTATGTAAATGGATGGACTTTATGGTAAGTAAATTACATAGCAATAAAATTACATGTCAGTAAAGCTGTATTTTATTTTATTTTTTTATTTTTTTTATTATTTTTTTATTTTTTATTTTTTTTACAAATAGTTTATTGTCAAATTAGTTTCCACATAACACTCAGTGCTCATCCCCACAAGCTGTATTTTATTTTTAAAAAAGATTGTCGGGGCACCTGGGTGGCTCAGTCAGTTGAGCAGCCCACTTTGACTCAGGTCATGATTTTACAGTTTGTGGGTTTGAGTCCCGCGTTGGGCCCTGTGCTGATAGCTCAGAGCTTGAAGCCTGCTTCAGATTCTGTGTCTCCCTCTCTTTGCTCCTCCCCAACTCGCACTCTGTCTCTCTCAAAAATACATAAATGTTGGGGTGCCTGTGTGGCTCAGTTGGTTGAGCATCCAACTTCAGCTCAGGCTGTGATCTCGCAGTGCATGAGTTCGAGCCCTGCATTGGGCTCTGTGCTGGACAGCTCAGAGCCTGGAGCCTGCTTTGGATTCTAAGACTCTCTCTCTCTCTCTGCCCCTCCCCCACTTGCACTCTGTCTCTCACTCTCTCAAAAGTAAATAAACATTTTTAAAAAGTTTTAAACAGAAATAAATGTTAAAAAATTTTTTTAATGATTATCAAAGAATAAGGACTATGTATCTTCTGTCTCTAGCTGATTAAGGCAAAAAGGCAAAATCTTATGCCAGTTGGAAAAACAGAAACTTAGATATGAGCATGCATATCTAAACAAGCTGCCCAGTTCACTGCATAAACTTTTATCACAACTCTTCTTTTTCACTTGGGATAGCAAGTTCTTAGAAACAATGTCTAGGATGATGTTTAGCAGCATTTTCAGTTTTCTCTGCATTCCTTTATCTGAGATTAGGAAATATTAAAATTGTAATGGAATTGTTTCTGTAAATAATTTTCTTTACAATGAAAATATTTTATACCATGTTGTTATATAACATCTTGTCCTCTCAAATTTCACAGCTTTTGCAATTCAATAAATTTATTCATGTAGAATATGAAATTTTTAATTTTTTAGAATTACAGACAGTGTTTTCAGAGCAACATATCTTCTCAGCAGTATTAGCAGTTCTTTAAAGAATTCTACTACTTTTTTCCCCTAGTAATTAGGAGGAATGATTTTATAGCTGAACCTTTGTTTTTAAATTCTATCTTAAAAGTGGAATTGGGATATTTCACTTTTAATGTGATGTTAAATACTAACAGCTACACTCTGTACAACACGTGGTGATCATCCTGTGAGAGTCAAAGTGTGATATTTTAGTCCTGAGAGGTTCCCCACTTTTCAAGCATCTTTTTCATCTCTACTTTCAATAGAAAATCTACTCAGTTGTTTTTATATTATAAACATGCATTATGTTGTCTGAGGTAAACACAGAAGCTTTTCAAAGTGCAGGCTTCTTATTTCAACTATTCGCCTGATTTGTTTGTAAATGGGAAATTTTTTTAAAAATGGAGAAAGCCGTAAATTGCCATCTGTGGTCTTTTCAAGCAAGTATAATGTAACTCTCTACTTTTATAGCAAGGGCTAGAAACCATTACTGCAGTAATCAATATATCACAGTTATATTATTACGGAGATTTTAATGTTACTTTCAAAATTCTGAGCTGGTGGGATATTGGCCCTCCACTGTTGACACCTGATAATATTTGACTCCATATTTTTTCTGTAAATATTTAAGGATTACTAGGAAACGGTAAGTCGGTTTTTAAGCACACACATTTTTAATATTTTAGATAACACTCCCCTTTTTTAAGCATTAATTTTCTTATTTCATTCGGTTAGTGTCCACTTGGCAAGAAGAGTGCTTCAGTTAGAAAAACAAAACTCATTGGTTTTAAAAGACCTGGAACATCAAAAGGACCAAGTAACACAGCTTTCACAAGAGGTAAATAACTTAAACAAAAGAAACATATATAAAGAATCACAGTGTTCGTTTTAATTCTTCGTTACTCCTTTGTCTATTTTCTGAGCAGCTCTAAAATACGCTGTTTGCTAGTACAAAAAGATTTTACAACTTAGAAAACGAACTTAATGTTAAAGCCTTATAAAACAACTTACAATGTACGGCAAAACTAAGATCAAAAAAGAGATTAAATGCCCAGACTAAATATAAATGCAGACTAGACAGGCGAAGCTTTGATTTCTGAGAGTATCAACTGGCAAAACAAGTTTGGCGATTTTAGGTGGCATTTTGAGTTTTTAAATAAAAACCTCATTTTTTTAATTTCTTTTTTTATTTCAATTCCAGTGTGGTGTTAACATATACTGTTATCTTAGTTTCAAGTGTACAGTATGGTGATTCAGCAGTTCCATATATTACTCAGCGTTCATCAAAATAAGTGTGCTCTTAATCCCCATCATCTATTCCCCCATTCTCCCCTCCCCTACTTCCCCTCTGGTAACCATCTGCTTAAAACTTCATCTTTTAAATAGATTTGCTTTTTTACTTCTTTGATGAAAAATTACTTATCTATTAAACACACACTCTAAAGCTCTCAAATTCTTTAGTACATGATAATTCCCAAAGTATCTTTTAAAAATCAGATTCTTATTTCTTATTTTCCTTAGCCTTATGTCATCTAAAAAAATGTATGTTTGTACATGGTATTTTTGATCTTTTTATTTAACATCTAATTACATTTTTCTCTACTTTTGAAATTCAAGTAATAAAACAATCATAACCAAAGATGTCACCTCATTAGTATTCCTTTTACTTTCTGAGTTTCAGCATAATAAGTTTTTTTATGTTGATAATTTAAGACTTTGATCTTATAACAAGTGATTTTTAAAGGCATACATTAAAGACTATCCATACATATCACATATTCTTTGTTTTCTGAAAGACCTGTTCATATTTATCTTTATAGTACCCTCTATTAAAGTACTTTTAATACTGTGACATTCGGAGGGTTTTTGTGCTCAAATTCCAGAAGACCAGAAATGTTTCCTATTACTACGGGCCTGACAGAGTCACGCTCGGGACAGAAGCAGTGCTATGCTGACAGGTGTTCACAGCCAGCTCTGCGGGCAGGGCCACGAGGGGCAGCCCTGACTTGTGTCTGTGGAATAAATATTCCCACCACGACAACTCTTGAGCTGCCAACATCCTCAACATCCCGTCACTGCATGCAGAATAAAGACACTCAGTACACACTGTTACATAATGTCCCCACCATAAACATACAACAGACCCGGATAAACTCAAGAGCATAGATAATAGTGAAACAGTTAAAAATCCATGACTTTGAGTAATTGTTCCCTTTTTTTAATAAAATTGATTTTATTGGGGCACCTGGGTGGCTCAGTAGTTTGAGCATCAGACTTTGACTTGGGTTGTGATCTTGTGGTTCATGAGTTGAAGCCCTGCTGCTGTCAGCATGGAGCCTGCTTTGGATCCTCTGCCCTCTCTGTCTGCCCCTCCCCTGCTCACGCTCTCTGTCTTTCTCGAAAATAAATGAGCATTTAAGAAAAACATGTCTTGATTTAAAAAATAAAGTTGATTTTATTATAAATTTAAAGTCTTGAATAATGGTTGTATTTAGCATCCAGCTTACAAAATTCCTAAAAATTTACCAGTCAGCTCTCAGAAACTACTGTAAGCCAGCTCCACCACACCATAGAAGGATAAATAAATGATTACAGAAACAAATGGGAGGTTAAGAAATCTCTCTTTGCTAATACATTATACATCACCATGTCTGTTTTAATTTCAGAACAACCTATCAAAAATATTTCAAAAAAAATTAAACTGTGTACAAACCTGTATAGGTACATATCTGCATGTCATAATATTACCTTAAAAAAATAAAACCACCTTCCTGAACACTTTGATTAATTGAAATAGGAATTGTTTTTTAGGTTTATTTATTTATTTTGAGAAAGAGAGGAGGAGGGCCAGAGAGAAAGGAAGATAAAGAGAATCCCAAGCAGGTTCTGCACTGTCAGGACAGAGCCTGATGTGAGGCTCGATCTCAGAAACCATGAGGTCATGACCTGAACCAAAATCAAGAGTTGGACGCTTAACCAACTGAGCCACCCAGAAGCCCCCTTGAAACAATTTTAAAGTAAGCTGTTGGCTTATATTGAGAAAAGATTTAAATACCGAAATATATATGATAGGAAATGATCTGACCTAGAATTTGCTTTTAAATACCACATTGAACATGGGGAAAGGGCTCATAGATTAAAGAAGAATTTCAAAATATTGATCATGTTTGAAGCTGGGTGAAGGTTATATGTGGCTTTATTATTCAATTCTGTACTTTTGTGTGATATCTTTTCATAAGACATGGGAGAAAGAATCAGTAACCTTAGCTACCATAGTATATAACTTTTCCTTTGAGACTAAAAATAAATTATTATTATATGAAATATTCCATGGATTTAACTGTATTTTGCCTCACAAAAATTATATTGCTTATAGTGAAAATATATAAACTAATTACCTGAAAGATAAGAGTATTAGAATGCTTCTGTAACAACTGACTATTCATGATACATGGGGAAAAAGCTCTCTCAGGATCTATATTCTTTTAAACAATTTAAGTATTAAAAATAGCTTGGAATTTTGAGAATAATACACAGGTAAAACAAATAACTAAAACTAGAATTACCATTAAGTTAAATATGTTATTGAAAATATGTCTGAGAGTAAACATAAATGAATTGCCAAAATGAGAATGCTAAAAAATACTCAAAATGAAAACATATATTCCCTTTATAGTGACTTTATTGAGGTATAATTGACAAACGCTAAACTGCACATATTTAAAGTGTACAATATAACTTTTGACACATGTATACCTATAAAAAATCATCACCAAAATGAAGATAATGACTATATACATCACCCCCCAAGTGTTTCCTTGTGCCCCTTGGGACTCTCTCCCAAACTTCCCTGTCCCCATCATGGTTCCCAGGCAACCACTGACTGGTAGATCAGCCGTGTTTTTTGTATTTTATATAAATAGAATCATAAAATATATATATATGTCATATATACATACAACATACACACACACATACTTTTTTTTTCTGGCGTCTTTCACTCTGCATACTTGTTTCAAGATTTCATCCATAGCTCTTTTCATTCCTGAGGAACATTCCATTTATGGGTATACCACAGTTGTGCATTCTTTCACCTGTTGATGGACGTTTGGGTAGTTTGCAATTTTTGCCTATTACAAATAAAGCTGATGTGAATATCCATGTACAGTCTTTTATGAATGTATGTTTTTTTTCTCTTTTGAGTAAATACCTGGGAGTGGACTAGGTGGATCATATGGTTAGGGGTCTACTTAATGTTTTAAGAAACTACCAAACTGTTTTCCAAATGTTTATACCATTTTACATTTCCACCAGATGCATATGAAAGTTCTTAGTATTCTGTATCCTTGCAAAGACTTGATATAGTCACTATTTTTTATTTTAGCCATTCTAATGGGTGTGTAGTGATCCCTCATGGTTTTAATTTGCATTCCCCAAATGACTAGTGATATTGAGCATCTGTCTTTTCATATGCTTCTTTGCCCTCTGCTCTTATAGGAACAAGTGTCTTCAGAATTTTGCCCATTTTATCACATTGTTTTCTTATTATTGAGTTTTGAGTATTTATTGATTTTTAGATACAATTCCCTTATCAGATACGTGATTTGCAAAGAGCAGCTTTTATCAAGTCCAGTTTATCAGTTTGTTCTATGGATTTGTTTTTAGTGTTGTGTCTAAAATACCTCTGCCTAATCCAAGGTCACAGGGTTTTTGTCATGGTGTTTCATAGTTTTAAGTCTGTACTCCACTTTTAGTCATTTTTGTATCGTTTGCAAGGCATAGATTGAAATTCGTTTATATGCACATTGAAATCAAATTGTTCTCACATCACTTGTTGAAAAGACCATGTTGAAAATCAGTCATAAATGTGTGAGTCTGTTTCTGGACTCTCTGTTTCCAGTTATCAAATTTGCATGTCTTTATGCCCATACTACACTCTCTTTATTATTGAAGCTTTATAATGTCTTGAAATTAGATAGTATTGGTCCTCTAACTCCATTCGTTTTCAGACATTTGGCTATTCTGTGTCCTTTGCATTTCCATATGAATTCTGTAATCATTTCTACAAAAAAGAAAGAACGAGAAAGAAAAAGCTGGCTTTAATTTTGATTGGGATTACATTGAATCTATAGATTAAGGGGGGGAAATTGACATCTTAATAATATTGAAATTCTGTCCCATTAACCAGCCATATCCTGCCATTTATCTAGATCTTTAATTTATCTTAATAGTGTTTTTTATTCTTTAGTGTAAAGACTAGTCTTCTAACTCATCTTTTTTAAGTTTATTTATTTATTTTTGAGAGAAAGAAAGAACAAGTGAGGGAGGGGCAGAGAAAAGGAGAGAGAGAATCCCAAGCAGGTTCACACTTCAGCACAGAACCTGATGCAGGGCTTGAACTAATGAACCATGAGATCAGGCACCCCTTGACTAATCTTAATATTGTATCGTTTTTCCATCCTTCTACTTTTAACTTACTTATGTCTTTAGAATTGTCTTATAGGCATCATATGTAGTTGGATCTTACTTTTTTAATCCATTCTAACAAAACAGGACTTTAATTGGAGTTTTTAGAACATTTACATTTAATGTGTCTCCTGATAAGTCTGTCATCTTGTTATTTGTTTTTTATTCATCCCATCTGTTCTTTCTTCCCTTTGTATTTTTTTTTCCTGCCTTCTTTTGGAGTAGCTAAATATTTTTTATCATTTTCTGTTATCTCATTATAGGCTTACTGGCTTGAACTCTGTTAGTACAGTAGTTTCTTTATAGTATATATATTTATCATCATCTCATTTCATGTGTTGTTTTACTACTTCATATGTAGTTTAAAAGCCT